GTAGACCTGTACACACTTACTGCTAAAATATCTTAAAGAATAAAAAAGGTTTCTTTGTAAACCTGAATGTATGATTGTACAGGTGACAACTACTGTAGTCAGTAAAGTGTTCTACGAGTGCTATTCAATGAGATGCCAAGTGTGACAGGTCAATTGAGAACATTGATGTTTATTGTTTGGTTATACAAACTAATTTTTGTTGTACTTGTCATTTTGAAATTCTTTAGTTTATAATCTTTTTGAATTCATCTTCAAAATTGCTAATGTTAATGGATTTTTCTGAACTGCAACATTATTCAAGCAGTTGATGTTGACATGTTATTAATTAAATGCGCTGCATAATCTACACCACTAGGTGGAGTCTGTGAGTGACAGTGGCATGCAGGGTTCGAAGAGTTGTTGTTGTTGTTGTGATGCTCCAGAGTTAGCAAGAAAGTTTTAGTTATGATTCAGCAGCGGAAGAGACTCGTAGGCAGAGTGAATGAAGGAACTGAGTCTTTGTTAAACGCTTCAATAAAGTGAAGACAAGTGAAACTACTGGCTGCAACATAAGCAGCTCTGCATGTATCTAAACATGCTTAGAACAGTATATTATTGAATACTGACAGCCTGTTCTATCGTTATACGGCAGCTATTTTCAACAAGCAGCACAACCCGGCACAACTCCGGGTCTTTGTCACTCAGCTTTCATTCCTCCCTAGCCTTAAAACGTCTGCTATATGAACAGCAGTGTGAGTTCATGCATCACCCTAGTTTCTAACACGTAAGAATGCATTTCCCTCTCTCGTTAGAAATCACATGAGCAGTGATTGTCACGTAGAACTCAGCCACCAGTGACGTCCACCCATTACAAGCAAGTGGTGCAACTCCCTCAGCAGACTGCAGTGCGTCCTCTAACCGACCTTTCGTTGCAGCACAAACAGCTGCAGCAGCATTTTCCGTCTAACTTTCTTTTTGGATCAAAAAGCAGTGAGGGCATCTCTTCACCGTTGTTTAACCTAAGCCTGCTGACTTCTTCGCCCAATTAACTTCAGCACATTGATGTTGTAAGCAACACCCCAAGAAGTCGTGAAGTATTGACACAGGCATAGAAATCTGTGAAAAGCGCTGTATTTTCCATTATTAAAACATAGATAATTAGATTACAAAAGTCAGGACAGGTCAGGACTCCCTACTTGACACTCTGCAGTTTGTACTGTTATGTTCATGTCAAGGTTTGCACATATTGACGGCACAGCTAAAGACTGAAGTAAAATATGGATAACAATTTGTAAGAAATACCGGTTACACACACACAGACTATAAGTTCAGCTTTCTTCTACTTGACTAAAACTCCAATATGTTTGTTTCACTGCATAATTAGCTGGAAGTTTTTAAAGGTGCGACTCACGTGCCGGTCTTGTCTACAGCGATTGATCGCACGCCACCCTGATGACAGAGCATCTTGACGAGCGCTTCCTTCTGGTTGGGTGACCAGAGAGTGACCGTGCCGTTGTGGTGGCCGAGGTGGACGATGGCGTTGTGGGGATTCTGGCACATCACGTCAAGTCGACCGGTCTTTGTGCAGATGGCTGCGACCTCCTTCCCCACGGACACGTCCAGGTACTGCAGGAAGCTTGTAGCGCTCTGAAGACAAGAGGAGCATCAGGAGAGTTTTGTCAGAGCTGAGTACAGGTGGTTCAGTAAAGTCAGTGTTTATAGAGTTTGGGAAGTTAAAACTGTGAAGCACTAAGGGAGAGATCTGTGCACAAGAACTCACTGCTGTGGCGAGCAGAAAATGGTACGGGAGGAACTGCATACGGAGGACGTCGTTGAATTTGCGTATGCAGTGAAGCTCTATTCCATTGGTGTCATAGATATAGAGCCACTTCTTCTGAGCCACTGCATACATGGCCTCACTATGAAGCCACCTGGATCAACACAAAGACGAGTTTTTATTGTCAGAGAGAGAGTTCTACACGGTTCAGGTAGGTCAAGCTTGATTGCACTAAACAGGAGTTTTCAATGCATGATCCCAGGCTGGACGACTTACTTCACATCATTGACGGACTCCATCACATTTATTTCACACATTAGCTGTTTGGACTGCCAGTCGACGCAAGCAACGTGGCCTCTCCTCCCACCGAGCAGCAGGTGACTAAAAGTGAAGAGGAAATATTGTAAAGAACTGGCAGACAACACACACATTAGACATTTGAAATCATGTTTCTGAGCAAACTCTGCAGATTGTCTTAGCAGAGAATCCGTATTATGAGCAGCATTACCTTTTTGTTTAAACGATAATAATGCTATGTTGGCTGTTTGCTTTGAACAACTCGGAGGAATACACTGTATACCACTCAGACTTATGTTATACAAATTTAACATCCCTCAGATGAAAACAGTGTGTCGCAGCTAGAAGAATGAATATGCGTCAGGTGCGTTAATACCAGCTCTGAATGAATGATCATGTTGAATGAATGGGAACGCAAAGAGCCACATTTTTTTGCTCCGACGTCACCCCGAGTTTCTCCGGACAGACCCCCAGTATTTTTTTCACAGCAAGTAAGAGTGAGCTGATGTGAGAACGCCGCAGGATATTCTCCGGAGAATTCACCTCGAGCCAATAGGAGGGGGAATGGCGTTTCTATGCTGTGACAGCTGCACGGTGCATAGAGTGTACGCACGCGAGCATTACCATCTCTGCACGTAATTAAACGGCTGCATTATGTTTTCTGTTCGTCAGTATGTTGTTCTCTGCTCATTTGTTGATATTGCCATTCTGTTGAATTATATGCAGTATTGATATAAAGGCAAATATTGTCATTATAGCGTTGTATAGTGGACTCTGTTGCTTCGTCTGTGATTTTTGTGTATGTGTGTGTAATTTTATATATATATAAAAAAATAAAAAATAAAGATTGTCTTTTATCAGAGAGTAGAATACTGACCGCCCAGTCTTGCTGTAATCTACTCGATATGGTCCAAACTGAGACAGCTTCAGGTTGAAATACTGAGGAGGTACAGGAGAGGGAAAAAAGACATTAGTAAAAAAACAGTTACATACATTAAGTCTTGTGACGTAAGACCCGTTTGACTCAGAACCAGAGGCCAACAGCACACATGAAGTAAACAAATGTTTCCTTGGGAGGACACACATTTGTTATTTATGACACAAGTCAAAAACAACATGTGCTTTTTGATGCTTATGATGTTCCCAAGGTCTTTCATGTTGGAACAAAAGAGCCTTGAACCAATGAACCTTGTTTTGTTCTTTCGTGGAAGTCTGCAAACCTAGGTAGAAATGTTCTTACGCTGCACATAAAATAAGTGCATACGCAAACTCGCATGTGCACCAGCTCAGTTCTTATTACCTTGCGTCAACAACCTGTAAACAGCATACCACTACACCCCCATCTCTTAATATAAGGACGTCCGATTGTTGTATCAAGACGAGAGTGGTGAGGCGAAGACAAGTAGAAGTTGCGATCATTTATGTACCCTGCATGTCCTTTAATAGGATCCCAATTAGTCATTTAGTTTTGGCATCAGATGCTCGATTTCATGGCCCTTTTGGTGGGAGTGGATAATGATTTAATGAAAATCTAAACTGTTACATTTTTATGTGTACATTGTCATATTCTTGATTGTGAAGTCTTTGATTTTAAGATGAAAGATTTTCACTAAAATGAGGATGAAAAGGTGTCAGTTTCATGGTGATTTAAATCATTTAGTCAATGCAAGTTTCACCACAAAAAGTTTAACAAGGAGACTTTGTTACAACAAAGACTATAGCTTAGACATCAGGTGTGAAACCATTCAGCAGTCTCACCTTTGCTCCAGATGTTATATCCACAGCATCTGCAATATCTTCCTGAGAGATTGTACACGTGTCCTCATCTTCATCACCTTCTAGAAACCTGACATAGGAGAAAGGAAAGTTTAACACCCAGGCTTTTAAACGATGGCTTAAAGCTACATTCTAGATCCCCGCTGTGCACTTGATGATTCAACGCGGCCGCGATCCATAGATTTTTACAGGAAATTACCCAGCATCCTCAGGGAGTAGGAGATCAAACCGGGCAGATTGCTTCTGGGCCATTTCTGAGGCTTCTTCAGAGCGGGATATCACGTCTCTCAGCTTGTTACCTACGCTCCCGGACTACACCCAGAAACAGGAAACACACGTTAGCTAGTGGCAGCATCTACTGTACTAGAATTTGTATACAAAAAGGAGACTTTGGGTTGCTTACTCTTTTAGTTTTAGTTTTCCTCTTGAATTTCTGCACCCGGTCCTGTGAAATCGGAGCAGGCCCAGGGAAGGGGTCTGATTTCTGAGGGCCGCAAACAAGAAACACACAAAAAAAAAAGTCAATGAATTGCCTTTACCAAACACTAAATTCATGAAGACCTGGGAGATATATGCTGGCATTTTGTCATAACTGATAATCCAGGTTAGTGATTCAATACACGCCTGCAAGAAGCATTCATGCAATCATTCATTTCTCCATCAACACAACGAGTACTGGGACTTGCATGGTACTTCGAGTATGTCTGGATTTTTACCACCAACCAGCTACTTTATATCGTTTACATTTATGAGTTTGTTTCCATTTCACACACAACCAGTGAATGAAGAGACTGGTGTCCTCGTGAGGAGGTCTGTGCAGTCGATTGAACTAGAAGAAGACTGTCTCCTGTAATGTGTATTTGATGGTTTCAGATTGCCTACCTGAAGCAGAGTGATATACAAAGTAATTTATACCAGCACAAGTTGCAACTGGAATACCTCTCATCCAATCAAACTGCTTGGTCTGAATAAACTTTCCTAAAAGTATCCACGGATTTGTTGACACTGCATCCACATATGCGACACTCAAGATAGAAATCCACGCTGTGTTAATGAATGAATCTGAGTCAGTAACACATCAATCTCACCCCTGATATCGTTTGCTTCACAAGCGTGTCTTCTTGTTTCATTTTCTTGGCTTTCTGTGTCTTTTTCTCCTTCATTTTCTCCTTCTTTTTCTCCTTCTTTTTCTCCTTCTTTTTCTCCTTCCGTCGCAGACGCTTCCTACTCGGTTCTGCGTCTTTTCCAACTTCAGCTTCATCTTTTCCCTCCTTCTGCAGCTCCAGCCAGTAACGAGCTGGGACCTGGGATGCAAAGCAGAGACGACTTTAATCAAAGGACAGGTGAAGAAGTAGATTTTTTTTTTTTTTTTTTGTTCAGGCATCAGTTCAACTCAGTTTATCCCGGCGCTACTTGCGTTAGCTTACAAGATGTAAGTGAAAGTAGCAAACGCGAGGCTGTTTTGTGTCAGTCACAAGCGGCGATAGATGATAAACCAAAAATGATAACAATGATACAGTGACGCTTAGTAATGATTTATTCGTATTTACCTTATTTTTACCCACGTGTGAGGTATCCAGCGTTGCGTCGCCGGGGGACGCCATTTTCCTTGTATACGTTTTTAACTTCCGCCGACGTCACTTCTGGAACGTTACGTAGGCGTTCCATAGCGCGCAATAAAATACAAGATTTTTATAAGATTTTGTGTCCAGGTTGATAATATGAATTCTCTGAAATAGAATGTGGTTAGAATTTTCAGCATATTTTGAAATAAAATGTTAGAACAGCTTGTCCTGGGTCATGTTTACCTTATAAGCCTTTTAAGTTGTTTTTTTTGTTTTGTTTGTTTTGTTTTTTTTATCTCACAACACAATAGAAGGTGCACTGTAAGAGGTTCACGTTACAATGTAACAATTCACTTAGCAGACGCTTTTTTTCCAAAGCGACGTACATCAGAGAGTAATCCATTCATACGCCGCCACCGAAGCAGCGGGAGCGATGCGGGGTTAAGTGTCTTGCCCAAGGACACATCGACATGTTGCTCAGCTGGGGATCGAACCCCCCCCCCGACCTTCCAGTTGAGAGGTGATGACTCTACCAACTGAGCCACAGGTTAAATCAGTTGAATTCAACTGGGTTAAACTCGAAAAAAGAACTGAATTAAATCTTTGCGCCACTAGATTTTACAACTTGAATCATATTGAAAACGACTATTTTAAAGTATCCAATTCATGTTGGAGAAGCATAAAGTATGCATAAATTCAAGTACTGCAGCTTCATTCCCTTTATAGGTGCAAGGTGAATGATTCAAACATGGAATAACTTATTCAACCAGCTGTTCCTCGCTAGTTCCGTCATTTGATCATTGACAAATTAAAAGTATTACAACCTCTCTCTCTCTCTCTCCTTGTCAAACATTTGCCTCAGACAATCATTAAGAAACCATGTGAGGTTTTATGACTCAGCCCTTGGGGAAATTCATTGACTCCTAAAGCCATGTCACAAGGAGTCACAAGTTCCAAAAAAACCTCAGCGTTTTTCTATGCCGTTTTTTTATATAGACTCACAAGATTATAAATGTTTTCTTTTATGTTTAACCTTAATCTCACAATTAGCTGTTGACTGTTCGATAAATGTGATGATGAAGGAAAAAAGTGCAGTACCTCCATTTGACAAGTTCTGCAGAAGTTGAAGTGCATAAAATGGATACATTCAATTAAAGCAACAATTAAAGCAAAACCTCTAATTTCTACTTGTTGTTCACGGGTCAATGCAGTTGTTTTTTTTCACACTTGATACTTGATGTTGGCTGGACAGAAATAGTGCTCTATGTAGATTCTCAAGTCCACCGCTGTATCCTTGTTGATATGCACTACAGTAATCTGAAGCGACATGATATCCAATGTGACTGTGTCATGATTTGGTCTTATTTAGTTTTGTATTTCAGTATGTTTTAATTTATCCTGTTCATCCTAGTGTTGCTTGTTTCCCTTGTATGTTTTTATCCTAACGTTTCATAGTTTAGTCTTAAGTGTTTTGTGTGTTATTTTGTAACTTCGTACCCTAGTGTTTCTTGAGTTCTCTGTGTATCTAGTGTTTATGTGTTTGTGTGTAAGCATCTTATGTAAAATTTCAATAAAAAGTTGATCACAAAAAAAATGATGTATCACATCCTCAATGTTATTCACTCAGCTTGTATAATAATGGAACATTTCCAGTGTCCTTCACATTACGCACACCGTAACAGAATGTAGCCATGTAATGGGGCAGCACACAAAGTATAGCCTAAATCAATATATGCTACAAGCTATTTCTCTAATATTTAGCATAGGAACAATATTTCACATAAGATCCTGTGTTGTAAAAGTTTGTTTTATCATTAATTCGAGAGGGTATAATTGTATTGCCATTTATATGGCAAGCCGTTAAGGAAATTAATATATTGAATGACACTTCGAATATATTGAACGAAGCCTGAATATATTGAATTAAACTTTAAATATATGGAATGACGTCTGAAAATATGGAATTGAAGCTGATTTCAATTATCCAAATTCACCAGTTTCATTGTTTTCATCCAAAAGACACCCTGCAGAATATGCTGGTTTTGCAAAATGACATCAGCTGAAATATACCAATACTTTCTTGAACATCAAAACTTTTTTTGAAAAGTTGTTGGTCATACTCAAAATCACATGAATAATTTGGAATGTAGAAAGCGTCAACTTGAAGATCATACTTTAATTATTGGAACACTTTCACTGCTTATGAGTAGTAATGCTCAACAAAACATTGCTGAGCGCACTTTGTGCAACCATCTTTATTTTAGTCTCTTACTGAGATGGAAGCTGAAATAACACTACAGACTTCCATTCAATATATTCAAAGTTCCATTCAATATATTAATTTCCTGAACGGCTTGCCATACATTTGAATTGAATTGAGAGAGAGAGAGAGAGAGAGAGAGCGAGCTCCAATGGACGAGTGAGAGTAAAGGAACGTGCCATTATACGCTCAGAAGTCGAGGGACAAAAAAATAAAAATGAAGTAAACTCAGTTTACTAGTGGAGTGTGTGTACACCAGTTCAGACTGCAGTCTCAGTTAATAGACGATGGTCTCTAGAAAACAGTTTCAACTAGCGTTCAGCTCCTCGTCTGTAGCCTATAAAATCTGTTACTCTGTTAACTATAAACTGGTCAAATGCACGTCTGTGAGTACTCTGATAAGGTTGTTGTCTGCTCTCAAGTGCTAAATTATCTAAGATCGGTCTGAACTCTAGGTTATCCTCCCCCTTATCATTCAAATTCAATTTATAAAAGATGAGTTGCAGCAGAAAGTTTGACGTCATCAAAAAAATAACTTGGTCCCCGATTTTCACTCTTTAACTAGTTAAATATAGAAGTTGCAGGAACTTTTAATAAAGGTTATATGAGGATGACACCGAGAGTTATCTAAACAGTTTTGCTGTTTACATTCTTGGCGCAAGCCCAAGCTCGTCAGTTGTATGTATTCGCTCTCAGCCTTTCACACGCTCACTTGGGGAGGAGGGGGGGGGGATTGTATTTGTTAGGACCATCTCGAGGAACGGGGGAGGAGCTGGACTTTCATATCACATGTCGAGCCAACTGGTATAATACAAGCGACACCGAGTTATGTAATGAGTGGCAAGAGAAAGGACCACAGCTTTTCCGGGAAATGTGCAGGAAAGAAGAGAAAATAATCAGCGTCAAAACAGTGCAGGAATAAGAAGTGACCAGTGTGTTGTGTTGATCCAGATAAGGTATGTCTATAAATGATCCCTTTTGAAAAGAGCTGCATGCATACTGTTTCTTATTTTCAAGTTGGGTTCATGACTCGAACTGCTAAGATAGAATGCTAAAAAGTGGAAGTGAGCACAAACTCCTAAAATGACTGAAGGAAGTTTGATTTAAAAACAACAACAAAAAAAACGAAATCACTGAGACTGAAAACGAACACTGCTGCAACTTAAAGTGTGACTTCTCTCACTTACTGATCCCATGCTCTGAATGTTAAAATGTTCTGACTTTTTTTGAAAAGATGGATTCACTTCGACCAGAACTGATTGAATTCCATGGAGTCTTCATGTCCCACTATTTCACAGACAACTGGGAGAACGTTCAAAACTTCAAGGCAAGGCCGGATGACATACTTATTGCAACATACCCCAAAGCAGGCGAGTATACGGAACAAAAAAGAATCAGTTTGGGCGTATTATAAATCGGATGATATGTATGAAGTTTGGAAGGTTTGGAGTTTTATTGTCCTCTCTGTGTGTCTTTCTTCCAGGAACCACATGGGTCTCCTACATTCTTGACCTGCTGTATTTCGGTCAAACAAACCCAGAGCGTCAGTCATCCATCCCAATATATGACAGAGTGCCTTTCTTGGAGATATTCGTCCCATCGATTGATGCAGGTAGAATACTTATTCCTACATACATTCATTGTCAAGCTTCAGTCTTCATTGTTAGTTGTCTACCATTCATGTAAACTTCAGTGAACTTCATCATATGCAGCAGATACATATTCCTTTTATTGGTGTCATGTTTCTAACAGTGCCCAGTTTTTATCACACTGTAGGTCAAGAGACTTCTTAAGCACCTTAAAGGATCAGGGTTTTGCTCACTCCATTTGTGTCCTTTTGTTACAGGAAAAGACCTAGCAGACCGGCTCCAAACCTCTCCTCGGCTCATTAAGACTCATTTCCCAGTTCAGTTTGTGCCAAAGTCCTTTTGGGAGCAGAATTGCAGGGTCGGTGAAATCATCTTCTGCCACAATTCATGAATTTTAAAATCACACACAAAGTAGTTAGTCAAATAATGGAAGTATCTAACCCAGGAAATGTGTAAAAACAAACCCACATAATCTGGCTTCAATTACAGTGCAGGATGAATTCATAGTCTTTTACACATCGCGAGTTCTATGGTCGGGATGTTAACGCTCCTGTAAGGCGATGCAATGTTTACATACAGAGGTGTAACAACTCGGCACGTTTGTGGACTTGTAATGTGTAAAGGGCTTGTGAGAGACTATTGGGCAGAGAAGCCCATTTCTGTCATCAATATATACTAACCTGGCCTTATGAGGTTAAGCTTGTGGCTGGCTGGTACTATCAGTTACTAAAAGAAAACGCTTACATAAAAATTTTTTTAAAAAAAAGTGTCCTGCTCAGTGTTAAGCCCTCAGATAACTGAAGTATTTTCTCTTGCTACAGATCGTCTATGTGGCACGCAATGCCAAAGACAACATGGTCTCCTACTTTCACTTTGACCGCATGAATAATGTTCAGCCAGAGCCTGGAGACTGGAGCAACTACTTCCACAGATTCATGGAGGGAAAGAGTATGACACATAAAATGTTTTCATAGAACAGAGATGACTTTGGATTACTTTGGTGCCTTAATGTACTGTTCTGTGGTCTTAGCTGTGTTTGGATCCTGGTATGACCATGTGAGCGGCTGGTGGGAGAAGAAGCAGTCTTATTCAAACCTCCATTACATGTTCTACGAGGACCTGATTGAGGTTATTCTTTTTTTTTTCCTTCAGGCTGTTTTTTTTCTAAAGCTCCCCATGAGTGTGTAAAATACTGTGACCATAATCTGATCATTTCCTCCCGCAGGATACTGGACGGGAAATAGACAAACTCTGCAACTTTCTGGGTATGTCTCCCTCAGCGGAGGAGGTGCAAAGAGTCGCAGGAAGTGTTCAGTTTGATAACATGAAAAAGAACAGCATGGCCAACTACTCTACGCTCCCTGTAATGGATTTTAAAATCTCTCCTTTCATGAGAAAAGGTAACTTCATAAATAAATAACCACATGTGGGTTACATGACACAAAAGAGGGCCCGTATTCACAAACCCTGACAGATTCTCTGTTGTGCTGCAGGAAAAGTTGGTGACTGGAAGAACCATTTCACTGTGGCCCAGAACAAAGAGTTTGATGAAGACTACAAGAGAAAGATGAAGGACCCCTCACTGCAGTTCCGCACAGAAATTTGAAACAGGGCTGAACAGGCTGCGAGCATTGCTTTTGACTGATGGGCGGATGGCATTTCTGTAAAAAAAAGAAAGAAAAGAAGTGATAGTTACCACACATGTGAAAGCAGAGGGGCAGAGTTTTATCTTTTTAATAAAAGTCTAATGTTAACCATGTTAGCCAAATATCTGATAATCTGACTGTTTGTGTGTCATTAGAGGCAGGCTGTATGATTGTTCCATTTGTACTGAAACTCTCAAATAATGAATGAAATGGATACATAGGAGGGTATCCTATCCTGCTGTCAGCCTCATTACCCCTCAGAGTATATTCAATTCAATTCAATTCAATTTATTTTGTATAGCGTCAACTCATAACAAGTGTTATCTCAAGACACTTTACAAAAAGCATGTAAAATACCTTACTTATTGCTATATTACAAAGATTATTATATATATAATATATATATATATTATATATATGAAGTCGTCATGATGGAGTCTGAAAAGTCCAAAGACTTTCAATTTAGGAAAGACTGCACATGTATTTCCTAAATTGTTAAATAAATAATTGTTCATTTTGAATAAAGTCTCTGCTAATTGAAATGCCTTCTGGCCCCGCTGCTTTGTTGCTCTGAGTTGAGCTGGTCTGGGAGGGAGGTTTCAGAGGGGAGGGAAAGTGCATCCAATCACTAATTAAGGCTCTTAAGGCTGATACAGAAGGTGTTCTTTAAAAGTACGTCTTATATCACTCAGATGTTAATTTCATAATGTTTATAATTACACAATGTCTGGCTACATTCTATGTATCTATGTAATCACTTTTTTTTCCCCAATTTATTTTTAGATTAACCAATCACAGCTTCTGAAAAAATGTTTCAGTTAGTGTTTTCCCATCTGCTTGAGAAACTCTTAACTCATTACTCTTTAACAGTTTCCCACCTTAGGAGCTCTCTTAAGGGTTAAGAAGCTTTGTGAATAACTTTTATCTTTACCATGACCAAGTATTAACTTTAAGGGCAAATGCTTAGAAAATGATTCTAAGAAGAATGTTCTTAGAATTCTGTCACAAGCAGCCACTCTTAGTGTTTTGGGGACTTTGTGAGGTTCATGAGTTTCCTTCTTTTGTCTTAAAACCAAGCCAACAACTCTGGAAGATCTATGTTTACTTAACTGTTGTATTTTGTCCGAGTTAAAAATCAAACTGATTAAAATATCAACTGAAAGATTTATACATACATACATAGTCATACTGTATCTCTGGAAGTGTTGGTTTAATGTTTGACCAATCACACTCAAACCTGATGAAGTCACATCTTTTTCCTTTCACCATTTGAAGAAGTTGTGCAGGATGTCACAGTGAGTGTTTCAAATCAAAACTGACTTCTTTACTGTGGACAAATACTACAGACAAATAGCTGTTTTGCAAAAAAAACTACTCATCAAGGTGAGTAGGGAGAAGGCTCAGTTAAAGGTAAATATTTGCAGAAGGAACATAGTTAGATTTTTTTAAATGTTTGTTTTTAGAAAATCTGCTATCCTTGAAACTTATGAGGTAATGATGATTAGTTGATCAAAAAAAAAAATTTTTGGCTTCCTGTTTCTGAAGTTACCAGTAGTCACTTTGACAGATTTTTAGACATCTTTTGTTCCTGCCATTTTTTTTATTTTAACCATCTACATGTACTTCAACTTGCAATGACAGCAGTCCCAACTCCAAATGCCTCCTCAAAATGCCTCTTTTTCTGCAGCCAGCACTGGCCTTTTAAGCTCTGAGGCCAGGTGTACCTCATTGTGCAATTTGTAGCTTCACCTGGGCTGGAGACAACAGAAAGGGAGAAGGGACACAGGGAAACACACAGCCATAACACATGTAATTAACAAAACTGCTTGAATTATTTACAGGAACAGGTCTATCTCCTACCCTTTTTAAAGGAACAGACATGGTAAACATCTTCCAATCCAGTTTCTGCCAAAGTCCTTTTTGGAGCAAAACTGCAAGGTGAGTCAAACTATTACAACCTTGAGGCTAACATCGATGAGAATTTTCAGCCATATTGTATATTTACATTTGTAAACCTTTTTAATAGACTGCTGTGTTCCCAGACCAAGCTGCTTAAGTCTGTTATGTCATCAACTGACCATTAATGAAGATTTGTTTACCCCTTTTCTAGAAATTCTCTGGATCGCCTCCTAAACTTTCCTATTTTCTTCTAGAATTACATTTCCTACTCAAATCGCTCCTTTTAATTAATAACAAAAATGTTACAAGTGTATGAATTATCATGAAACCTTTTTAACTCAATAAAGTTATTGAGAAAAAAATTAAGCTTCTCGATAATTTTATTTTTTCCCACAAAGTAGATCATTTATATAAGTCACAATGCCAAAGACAGCGTGGTGTCTTATTACCACTATGAGCGCACGACTGTATTGGAACCAGAGCCTGGAGACTGGAACAGCTACTTCCAAAGGTTCACGGAGGGAAATAGTATGTGCTCCTCATATATACAAGTTGTTTTCAGTGGTACAAAGGTTCACTGAAGTCCATGTTTCCTTTCTGTGATCTTCGTGCTGTTTGGATCCTGGTGACCATGTCACCGGCTGGTGGAAGAAGAAGCAGACTCATTCACAAATCCATTACATGTTCTATGAGGATCTGATTGAGGTAATCTTAATGTTTTTTTTTTTTTATTGTATAAATTGCATTGGTTGAAATTGTGTGAAAGTGTTGATTTTACCAAATGCTCACAGGATACTGGACTGGAAATCGACAAACTCTGCCACTTTCTTGGTTTGTCTCATTCGGTTGAAGAAAAGGAAAGAATAAGAGACCAAGTGCATTTTGAAGAAAGAAGCGGTCAACTATTCATCGATTCGCACAATGCACTTCAAAATTTCACAGTTCATGAGAAAAGGTACAGTCAGTCATAATATGAAAAACATGAGACATTAAACAGAGTCACATTTTGAGCCATAAAGTATTAGACAATTCCTCTGTTGATCTGCAGAAAAGGTTGGTGACTGGAAGAACCACTTCACTGTGGCCCAGAACGAAGAGTTTGATGAAGACTACAAGAAAAAGATGAAGGACCCCTCACTGCAGTTTTGCACTGAAATTTGAAACAGGACTGTTTCAAATTTCACAGTTGACCTTTGGCCTTTTGACCTTTTGACCTTTTGACCTTTGGCTTTCATCAATCATTTGGAAAATGTTTCTTTTACTGAGTCTAAAGAACAATAAGGACATCTATTAACTACGACCTTTAGATCATTTCTCACACTGATACAACCAGAAAGAAGAATTGAATCGTTTTTATTTGCACCCAATTACTGGTACTGTTGCCTGGCAGGGGCGTTGGACTTTATACGCCAGGGAGATTAATCTTGTGAAATTGTAAACAAGAGATTTACAAAGAGTTCAACCTGGACTCTGACAGCAGGGATGGTTAAAGCACAGTGGGCCAGGCTGTGAAAGCTCTCTCGGCCAGGTGGGACTGGCTCCAAACCTCACAGCAATTGGCTACTGAAACTTGAACATTACTCTCTGGACATAAAACATAATCACTTTCCCGTTTGAACAATAAATACTCTGCCTTGTCTCTCTCTGTCTCTCTCTTCATTAAATTAATGAGGATAAAACATGTACAATTACTGAAAGCTACATAAACTGCTGCACTGAGCCCAACAGTGAGCTTCATGTTACCAAACCTGTCAATCAAAATTTAATGAGTTCAATCATCTGGGTTTGATCATAAGAGGGGCAGAGCCATCCTTGGTCTCCACCCTCAAATTGTCAAAACTCTTTGCTCCATGTGAGAAGAACTTGCTCTAAAGTGAGCCTCACCTCACCTCAAATAAGAAGTAAGAGAGAGAGAGATCGAGGGAGAGAGCACCTGCAATCCTGCACTCCCAAAGAAGACAGTGACATTCCTTGCCCTCATCTATATTTTTTTTCACCTTCGCAGCTGCCCGTGCAGCAGTTGACACACTTTTTGGTATATTTATGTGGTCTCTCAAGATTCAAAATAAATCTGATTCCACACCCCCACTGCTCTTCACCATTCACAGGAACGACTGCACCTCAAGGGACCCTTCATTGGAACTCCTGATGTTTACAGACGACACCACTGTCATCGCTTTCATCCTGGACGTTGATGAGTCTGTTTACAGACAGGAGGTGGAACAGCTGGCACTCTGGTGCGGTCAGAACTTCAGGAGAAGCCCCCCTACACTTCCCCCCCTCACCATACTGAGCAGCACAGCTTCAGGTTCCTATGGATCCACAATCTCCCTAGATGATACAGTGCACTGCACACCAAAACAACCAGTAGTAGGAGGGTAGAAGTAAAACACATTTAAGAAAACCAAGAACTGGATATGTCGTACCGATGTGTGCGTTAAGGTTTGGGCTGAATTGATATTATTTTATTGTCCATCTTTCTTTTGAGCCACACTTTGCTCTGCCACGTCTTTGACCTGCTGTATTTTGGTCAGACATCTCCAGATCGTGAAAAATCCCTTGAAATATTTTTGAGAGTGCCCCACTTCAGTTTTGTGATCCCCATGTTGATGGTTTAAATAGTTGTAAAAGGGTTTCAATTATTGTAAAAGGGTGGGCCAAGAAATTCAATTACTTTAAAGGCAGGGTTGGTAATTTACCACAGATGCACTTTTTAAGATTTGGGTTGAAATTGTCTTTAGGTCATGACAGAAATGAATAATTCATGTGCTCTGAAACAAAGGAACAAAGAAAATCTGTCATCTGTAGCAGTTGTAAGCATGTAAACACTTTGAGCAATGTCTGCCACGAGGTACCAATTTGATGAACAAATCATGCCTCCCTGCTCATTCTCTACCTCTTGCGTGCACTAGCCCACACTCAATGAATGTCACTGATGACAGAGACTTTACTGTGAGTTTGTCGTTGGCCGTTGTGAGTAGTAAAATAGTCACGTTTTTTAAAAACATGTATTATGATGAAGTTTAGTGTTTACTTACCGCTGAATGAGACACGATACAACATAGTTTTTACACAAAGCAAGCGATGAGCTGAGGGCCGCTTCTGGAGCAACGGCGCTTGTGCATGTTAGAGCCAAAGACAGCGAGATATACTCATACAGTAGTTCCCAACCATATTTCCTTGGAGCCCCACCTACTTGTCAGACAGGACTCAGTGTGTTAAAATTGATGGTTTCCACAAGGGGGTGCCACAAGGCTCTATATTAGGTCCCTTGTTGTTTACTATTTATATTAATGATTTGAGGAAATATGTCCAAAATGCAAATGCCCATTTTTATGCTGACGATACTATTATTTATTGTTTTGGAGAGACTGTGTTAAAGGCTGTTGATCGCTTGCAAGCTACTTTTAAAGAAATAGAAGCCCAACTCCTGTCTTTAAGACTAGTACTTAATCCAGATAAAACTAAAATGATGATCTTCACTAAATCCAGGGACAAAGATAACTGTCGGCCCACTCTATTTACATTTCAAGGTACTCTTATTGAGACCGTTTCCACTTTTAAATACCTTGGTATCATCCTTGATGACAATTTGTCTTTTAAACCCCATATCGAGAACCTTGCAAAGAAACTAAAGGTAAGATTGGGCTTTTATTTCAGACATAAATCTTGTTTTTCTTTTGTTTCTAAAAAGAGGCTTATTGCTGCTACTTTTATTCCATTATTAGATTATGGTGACGTACTGTACATGACTGCCTGCTCTACCTCACTGCACATGCTGGATGCTGCTTATCATTGTGCGTTAAGATTCATTACCGGCTGTCAATCACTCACCCATCATTGCACTTTGTACTCTAAAGTAGGCTGGCTGTCCCTGTCAGCTCGTAGGCCTCTTCACTGGTACACCTTCATTATAAAGCTATTACTGACTACTCCCTTCATACCTCTGCACCTACCTCACTTTTAAATCAAATCCATCATACAGTTTGCGCTTTCTGACTTTCTATCTACGTCAGTCCCCAGAACTCGTACTGAGTTGGAAGAGGCCTTCATTACTCTGCTCCCTCCGCATGGAACAGTCTTAAAAAAACACTCAAATTGCAGGAACTCATCACTATTAATGATTTAAAACTTGGCTCACAAGTTTTTAAACGCTAATTTTGAGTGTTAATGTTTCACTGCATAGTATTTATCATCATCACATAATTGTTCTTTTAGTGTGTATTGTGGTGTTGTGCTTTGTTTTTGTTAACATGATCTTGTCCTCCT